GGATTTGTGAGGTCATTGTGAGGCTTAGTTCACGTTTGCTAAAGCACTTTTAGGTCTTTGGCTGGAGGGTGCTATGGAAGGTGAAATACTACATTGAAATACCCGACAGTGTTCTGTGGTAACAGCCGAAGCAGCCCAGGGACCGGTGATTGGAATTACTTCTCCAGAGTGCTACAGCAGTAGCACCATCGACATCTGGTTGTGCTTTTCAGCTTGGCAGGTGCATTAGGGGCCCGGGGGCAACTGTGTCAGAAACCAGCCCGACCTTAGGCTGGAATCCGCAGGTTGCTGTCCTGCCTAACCTTGCCGTGGTGCTTCACTACCCTACTTGGGTCACTGAAACTGTTTTTTCACCAGTTTCCCGTGCAAATGAACCTCAGTTTGTGGTTGTGAGACTGAAGGGAGCTGTGGAAGCACTAGAGCTAAAGCTGCATCAGCTGGGCTGAGCATAGCTCTTGGAGAGTTTGTGAGGCAAGAACCCTTAACGCGTTTGTCTTTTCATCTTTGAGATCGATTTGACTTAAAATGGACGTTTCTAAGCTGCATGCGGTTATCTCGCTGAAAAGGTCAACTTCATTTGGCCCTGGTAACAGGATGAAAAGCTGCTGTGGCAGGAGTGCTGGAGAGGGGCGAGAAGATGTTTCTGGCACTACCACGTGTTGTGTGACACCTGCAAACTGTGTAATCGTGTGCCTCAGTTTCCCTGCTTGGGGAGTCTTCAACCTACCTCACTGCTAGTTGAGGCGTAAGTGATGCTTCTGGCATGCGTGGGTGCAGGGTGCTGTGGAGGGGTGCTGGTGGTGCGCAGCGCCGAAGGGGAGGCTTGACTCTCGTTAGTGCTTAACGGAGATCATTAAACACTTACCTCCTGAGAGCAAGATGTTGAGCTCATCCTGGACTTACCTGGTTTCTGACGTGCTGGGATGCTGCACGGATGCTACTCTGCCAAATAACGACTTTTGGTGGCTGCCGCCACTGTGGATGTCCAAAATGCTTGGTATTTGTTTTTTGATGCCGTTTGAGGGGAGGGAAGCCCTTCGAGGCGTCAGCCCTGTGTGCTACCCCTGGGGAAGGTCTTTACACCACCTCCGGGCTGGGCTGCGGGATGCTCCGCTGGGTCGACAGTTATTTGATACCTTTCTCCCTTGTAAACTTCTAATTCCGCTTTTTTTTCCCCATTTAAAATTCTTGCAGTTACGCTATAATAAAATTTTTACCATTATTCTCACGTGTGTGTCGCGACTGTTTCTAGCGCTTAAGCCTGTGAGAAACCAGAAACAAAGCGGGTCGCCCCTGGGGTGGCCCCTGGGGTGGCCCCTGGG